GATGTACGCATACCTTTTATCTAAAAGACTCATCGGAAAAAATCCAAAGAGGGTGTGGATAGAAGGGGCTAGAGAGAGGAATCTGCTCTCCCATGCTTCACACGCCCGCCGTTGATTGCCGATTTTACAAACGACAAGGGAGCGAGTTTGTAGCAGATTGGGTTAGCAGATTCCGCACCCCGCTTTGCGAGTGTGTCTGCACTGCCATTACCCACGATCTCACTGTGGTCCTTGATCCATTGTATGGCGCACCTGTTCCCATTGCCATTTAATCGCGAAATAAGGTAATTGCCAGTCTTTGAGTTCATAATTGACTTCACAACTTAGAGGTTGTCCAGAAAGAATTTTAAAGTTAAATGATCTGGTAAAGTGATTGCGTTTTCAAGTGCCTTACCAATCCAAGGGCTTCCGCTTGAAAGACAGAATATTGAGGGAAAAGGACTTGAAATTCACAATTTCAGGTTCACAATCGAGACCAGAGAACCTGTACACGCCGGCACCAATTCCATCTCTGGTTTTGGAACCATCTGTATAATATGCCACGTGGAAGGAAAGATCAGGTATATTACTGCGAGCGGAGTAATAGGGAGGTAAGGGAAGGATGTGAAAAGGGAGGAGACTCGAGTGAAATTTCAGCGTCAATCTATCCATACTTTTTCAAGTATAGCTCAGTTTTAGCCGCGATTTCCAAATCGAGAGGAAGAACTCTAGACAAGGATTCAAGAGTAGCGTTGCTGGTTGAACTGAAAGCTCTACAAACTCTCACTAGAAAAGGCTTTTTAGCTCTCAGTAGAGCATTTAAGGAGCGCTGTGAAAAATTATGAAACCACCGAGGCGTAGACAATGACAGGAACAACCACTTTCAGATAAAGAGTTCTCAAGTCGCGGTGACCAAAACCAAAGTTGAGATACCGGCTGTGGTCATGCCGCGGACCTTGACGCAGACTTCAACTACAAGCTGGTGGAAAGATATACGTCGGTCAAATCTCATCACAGCACCTTAACTTAGTCACACCATTGAATTGGCCGTCCGTGGATAACCAGATCCCGGCGCGGTACAGGCAGTCTCCTGTGTGGTCTAAGGAGAACCATAGCCTGACACTTCCCCACGCTGAGTTCCAGTTAATGCAAACTTCACCAACTAGCGATCTTGTAACTATGGTATGTTTGGCTGCGGGAAGTTGACTAGTTCAACCTCCCGAGACAACCACGACCATATTTTCCGCGTATTTTTGTGGGGATAAATTATTCCTGTAATCCAGTGTGAGGAGTTCGTCAAAGACAATATTCCAAAGGAAAGGACCGAGAACTGAATCCTGGGGTCATCCTTTGGAAACACGTCTCGACACAGTACAAGCATACATAGACAGTTTCACAACATAGTTACATAGAAACGAGTTTATCAGATGATAAATGCTTCTGGGACAAACGCCTTTGTCCAATCTAATAATCAATTCCATGTCTGCTCACGCGCCGCGGCGTCGTACACCACGAAGCAGTCCGGCCACTGGAGATGTCGCACCAGGCCAACGATGGAGGCGACGGTAGCGGGGGTCCAGTCAGGTATCCAGGCTGAGACACACGGACTTGTCATATAGCAGGTCATATAGTGAGTTACAAACTTCTTAACTATAGACATTTTTAAAGCGTTAAATCCCGTTGGGGATTGCCGATTTCAAACATATTTCACATATTTACTAAATTTACCCAATGTCTCAAGGGTTTACAGGGTGTATACACTTTTCTGACATATGTTTATGTCTATTCATAAGTTAAAGTTTCTAATCGCTTCTTTTATATTTTTTGTAGGTAACTAATGTGGCAAAGATTATTCTTACGAACGGGATAAAATGGCATGCCGTCATCATTGCCATATTTGCTCAAAACACAACGATATGGAGATATCAATATTTCTGGTGGTTTTCAGATCATTTTCCATAAGGTGCGAAAGAAAATTGAGGCAATTAGCGGTAAGGCCTCATCTGTGGAAAAGCGAAAAGCACAAACCCAACTATAAGGTAATACAAGTTGGTGCGGCAGATGCAATATATCAACGACGAGAATCCTGGAACCTCCATGAAAGCTATTGACAAAGTGTATGTGGTTCCAAAATCCAGAATGTGGTTCATGATAACCTATCGCACAAGTCTTGAGCGATTAAAAAAGATTGTTTTATGCCAGCGGAAGCCCAACAACAACGATTATTCCGCGAAAAAAAAAAAAAAATTCAACAATGAAACCATCCAGAATGGCCTACCATACTTCCGTTCTTCTCCGACAAAAAAAAAATCCCTCAGTTCGGAAGTTCACTATAATCTAACTCTCAAACCTCAATCCCTTATGGTATCACGAATTGCATGCTTGAAGCTAGTAGACGTCCACACAACACTGGGCGCACCGAAATCTGCCATTGTTACTGAAATGTCCTATATTAATATGCACGACGTAATTCAAACATACTAGCGTTTTACGATCACTTACCCTTTATTTAGGCAGATGGGAACAGTTCTTTTAACGTTTCTAATGTATATTTATTTATATCAATTTAAAGCACTATGTCCCCCTAAGGAACTTGCGCTGTCATACATGTATGCCTTTACATTTTTCTCTATACACCTATCCCCCGATTTACACGGTACTTGTTATACACGTTTTCGCTTTTACACGGGTTTCCAAATAAGTTTTTTTTTTTGTTTTTATCGCACTATACTAAATGCTACTGTGATTGAACACATGCGCTGTGTACACATCTCACGAGGAATCCCGAGCTTATGTGCTGACTACATATTTTAACCTGTCAATGCATTTTATTTTTATTTCTGTGTACACCTATCCCCCGACTTACACGTTTTTCTCAGAAAAATATCTACCGTGTAAATCGGGGGATAGGTGTATATGTAATATTGTTGCAAATGTGATCCTACCGACGTATGGATAAACTGGCAGTCGTGTACGTGAGGCGAGTGTTGATGTTCTTTCCACACGCGGAAAACAAGAAGCAGGGGCAGGGCTAGATGTTAGCACCGAGAGTGATCGTGGACAGCCCACGGGACAGATGTAGAGGCCATTTCACAAACTTGGATGCTTATCACCGAGACATGGAAAGAGAGTTTGTGAGACAGCAGAAGCCGTCTGCCGATAGCCACACCCTAGAACATCTGCTGACCTTTCTAAACCTTTCCTGTTTACAGGGGTCGTCTATAAAGAGTCCCTCGGGACCCCACATGGGCTGGGCGTTGCCTTTTTCCTCCCCTCTGTTCCTGCCACCAGCTAACCGAACTCTCTTTGGATCTTTATTTTGAAGTCAACATTTTTAGTGTTACATACAAATAGGGCTTTGCAGATATTATCAAAAAAAGATATAGCATATATACAAAATATGGGGGTGGTAGAAAATAGAAACAGTGTACATTTTAATAGAAGGTAGGATATTTTGAGGCATCGGCTCTAACTAATCTACTTATATATTTGCCTTATTCTGTCTGTTTGTCTGAAGCTCACGGATAGAATGCGCGCTCATTGGCTGCAAGGGAACACGTGTCCTCCCTGCCCCCCTCTAGACAACCATGTTATTCAAAAACCATACATCCAATCGCCATGAAATTCTGGGATATTATTAGGTATATCCCCGGAAAGGTTTTCGAAAAATAATTTCTTGAATATCTTGAATATCCTTAGAGTTATTTGCAGAATTGTAGATATAACTCGCAAGCAGCGCCGCCAGACGGTGATAGGCCTAAGCTTGCTGCTCCACCCCTGTTGACCTTGGGTCGTCGTGTGAGTCACAGCATGATGCAACAAAAAACACTCTCTCTGGGGATTGCGACGTCAACAACCTGTAAGTTTGTGCCTCTCTCATAAACCTGTCTATACAGACCACCCTGTCTATAGCGACCACTCTAGACAACCCTGTTATCAGCTGTGTGATACATCCACCTGTCTATACAGACCACCCTGTTAATAGCGACCACCCAAGTCAACGTTTTTAGAATATATTCGCACTCGGGTAAACCCCGGGCGTTGCCCGGGCCATTCGTCTAGTTGGGAGATATGTGACATATACTAAAAGTGTCATTATTATACAGTTTTAAAATATACGATAGAATGTGCCCCCGGTGAAGAAGGTTTGTTTGGGGGAAATGAAATAACATCAATGATGACCTAAAAAACCTATTATAAAATCAAAAGAAATAATTTGGGCAAATTAGTTTAAATTATTATAAATACTAGCCGAATGACCCGGGCAACGCCCGGGTTTTACCCGATTAAATGCTCTTATTCAAATACTATTCGTTACAATTATAAATTGGCGCCGTGGATGTCATTCTTGTGAAACGTCCCGCTCCAAACTTTGTGTCTGAGAAGCGATATTTTTATAAATAGATGATCTGGCTTTGTGTCTTCTGCTCGAATAAATGTTTTTCTGTTAGAATTTTGTTCCTGCATACTAAAAATTAACTGGCTTCACCCGTGGTCTCTGCTTTTTGGAATTTTTCCGGATATAATTTTGTATCTGATAATCAAATATGATACAGCAATATTGTCATAATCATTTTCTGACTAAAAGAAAACAACTATTTTTGCCCAGAACCTGTCAATTTCAATTTTTCTTGGCTAAAAATGCGACAAATATCTCTTCCATATTTTTTCTATGTCCTGTTAAAACACGTTTTACATGTACAATAGGCCAGCTGATATTACCTCCCATCTTCACCGCTAGAGGCACTGCTTGCGAGCGAAAGAGCAAATTTGCAACTCAAATTTGCAAATAACTCGAAGAATATTCGGGATAGAGACCTGAAATATTCAATATAAGTTTTTCCAGATTCTACTATACATACTGCTAAATTTTCAGTCAAATTAGTTACGTATTTTACGTATATTACGTAAAAGCATTCTATTCACAAAAGCAAACTATGACAGAATTGATGACTCTGATACTTGTATATTTTAATAATAATATGAATGAGTTTTAAAAATTATAAAAAAAAAAAAAAAAATGCATCGGTCGGGAATCGAACCCGGGCCGCCCGCGTGGCAGGCGAGCATTTTACTATGAACCACCGATGCTTATTAGAAATGGCCCTATTTGGGTATTTATTCCATTCACAAAAGCAAACGGTGACAGAATTGATTGTTGATTGTTGATGACTCTGATAACTGTATATATTATAATAGGAGAATAAGATAGGACAATAATATAATGATAACGTCTCAATAAGATATAGACTATGATGAAAGAAAAATACATAAGAATTGTCGTGTTCCCAATATAAGAACTAGTTTTAAAGAAACACTAAAAGATTCTAATCAACAGAACTCTACTTTATTATTCTCTTGACCTATATTTTATACCTCGCGCTTTTTGCGGACATGCAAAATCAACCATCCTTTTTAAAAAACAAAAAGTAAATATGCAAATATACAGAATATACAAATATACAAAATAAAACAATACCATGCAAATATGTCGAGGTATGCGACAGACTCCCCCTCCATGACCCCCCATCACTCCCGTGATGGGACTCCTGGTGGTCTATGATGAAACTTAATGATGTTGGTGATGTGGGAACTCTGGGTTCCTCGTTCTGATTCATAGAGGACATATTTAACATAGCCGTCCACCATCTTTACATCAGTAACAACATGAGGTCCAGTCTGCAGTCGCTGTTTACCTGTGTATTGGTGTTTCACCAGAATCGAATCTCCAGGTTTGACATCAGCAGGTCTTCTTCGATTTCGGTTGTAATAATATTTCGTGCGCAGACGGTAGTTATGGCGCTGTTTGTCATTATTCTCCGTTTCAATTCTATGGAGTTGTAAGCCCAATTCCTCGTCAGCAGGCACTACCGGCACTGTTCCCTTCCATTTGTACCATGGAGAGCATCCCAGATAGGTATTATGATGTCGATTATGATAATGGACGGCTGCCTCCAAGCAACATTTCCATCCTTTAGGGAACTGTGGGTAGCATTCCATGAAGGTCTTAATTTCTTGAATTACTCTCTCGGCCAGACCATTTCCCGCAGGGTGATATGGACTGGTATGAAGAAACTCGATTCCCTTCTCCTGCGTCCAGTTGTAAAATTCCCCTCGAGTAAAGGAGGTACCTCGATCGGAAATAATTTTCTTTACATTTTTAAGAATGGGATGGTCCGCAAAGTATTCCTTTAGGGCTTTACCCGACTGTTTCATACTTTTGGCGTATACAATCCGAGTAGCTTCATCAATCACTACTAAGAATGACTGGGTAGAGGCATTGGATTCTGATTTCTTTTTGAGTTCTGCGAAGTCCACATGAACCGTATGAAAGGGAACATGAGATTGAACAGGCAAACTCATCTGGTCAGAGGTAGATCTATATTTGGCCTTTACCCTCTGACAGGTGGAACACGTTTGGACATAACGTCGAATGTCCCCCTTCATATTTCGCCACCAAAATCGATTCTTAATTGTATAATAAGTCCTCCAGAATCCCGAGTGGCCACCGGATTTCGGATCATCATGATACAAGCCGAGAATGCTAGAAACTTGTTCAGGAGTCACCAAATAGGACTTTCTCTGTTCGTCGTATTCCAGCTCTAAAGCTTTATGCTTCAACCAGAACGTCTGTTCATCAGACTTGTCTGGGACGCTTACACATAATCGTGACAACGCGTCGGCGTCCCTCAGTTCCTTTCCCGACCGATGATTTATTATGATATTAAAGGAGCGCAGGAATAACTGCCACCTGGCTAAACGGTCTCTAAGTTCTCCACAACTTAAAAGTTGGGTTAAGGCTCTGTGATCAGTATGTACCACAAAAGGGCGACTCTCCAAGTAGGAACGAAAATGTTTCACAGCCTTTAATACCGCCAAGCACTCTTTCTCGGTAACGGAATAATTTTGTTCGGCTTTTGTAAAGGTGTAGGAGTAATAGCTAATTACCCGAAGTTGTTTACATCTTTTTTCTTGGAGGTCCCTTTGATATAAAATGGCTCCCGTTCCATAGTAGCTGGCATCCGTTGATAGCTCCAATGGCAATCTCCCATCAGGAACCCTAAGAATTGGTTCCTCAGTAATAAGTGCGATAAGTTTTTGGTAGGCCGTCTCGCATTCAGAATCCCATTCGAAGGTTACATCTTTTCCTTTTAATTTGTCCAATGGTCTTACTATGTGAGCATAATCTTTTATAAAGGCGCGGAAATGATTAGTCAATCCGGTGAAACACTGTAATGACCTCAAATTGTATGGACGTTTCATATTTCGAACCTTTTCGGTAACTTCAGCCCTTATTTTCTTTGTGTCTCCATCAATAACTCTCCCCAATAAGTCTATGCGAGGGACGCAAAATTGACACTTATCAAAATTTAACACTAGGCCCGCAGTGGTCAGTCGTTCAAGAATTCTATGCGTCAAAATGGAGCAATCCTCCTGAGTATAGCCACCACAACAGATGTCATCGATATAAGCTACCACCTTATCACCCAATAGGTCTCCTAGAATTGTAGTCATTATTCTCTGGAACTTAGCTGGAGAATTCTTCCATCCAAACGGAAGCTTTAGAAACTCGTAATGACCAGATGGAGTTACGAAGGCAGTGTATTTTCGAGTATTTTCTGATACGCCAAGTTGCCAAAATCCATCCTTCAAGTCGAGTTTTGAGAAAAAACGACATCCTCCGAACACATTAATAATGTCGTCTATTCGAGGAAAGGGAAAAGGATCCAAAAGTGTTTCATCGTTAATCCTTCGATAGTCGACACATAATCGATAGTCTCCATTCTTTTTTGGAATTACTATGCATGGAGATGCAAATGCCGAGTTTGATGGTCTAATTATTCCTTCACTTAGCATCGATCTAATTTTTACATTTAACCAGTTTCTTTTGGTATTCTCCAATCGATATGGCTTTGCACTGACAACTCGAAAGTTTTCTTGCAGTCCAAAGTCCACCTCAAATTTTGAAATTATTGGCGAAGTCCTTTTGCAAAGGCTGGGGTATTTGACCTCGACATCCCTCCTGGTAACAAGGTTCGGGCCAGTTTCAGAAAAGAAACTGATTTGATCTGTAAAGAAGTCCCACTTCACTTTCAAGGATTTTAACGTAGGCTTACCAATTAACAGATCAAAGGGCATATCTGGAAGGACAATAGCCTGGATCTTGATTGTTTGCTCCCCAGCCTCCAAAACCAGATCAATGGCTTCGGTAGCAGTGAATTTATTATGGTTGATCGTGTTTATTAAAGTCTTGGTAGGGTATGTTTTCCACTTGTTTTTTTGTGTTAAATTTTCGTGTATCAGGTTAAGAGAAGAACCGCTGTCCAGATAGGCCTTTACTAAGTGAGAGTTTATTGTCACATCAATTAAGGAATGGGGAGAATCACAAATCGAAAAAATGGTCGATTTTGACCATGGGATCGGCGAACCCATACTCGTCAGTTTTTTGACAAATACGAACCATTTCCATCATTTTCCGCCTGGTATAACCTCGTGTCACTATTTCCAGTGAAATGAACTGGTTTCTTGACTGTGCCAGGAGTTCTTGCAGACGGCCTGATGTTCTCCAGGAGTTTGAGTAGACTTTGCTTGCATTTGATATTTGCCGTGGCCAGTTGTTCCTGCATATGCTGGGGAAGTCCATGAATTATCCCAATAATCAACAATTCCTCACTAAGGCCAGGCATACCAAGTCGCATCTTTCCTTGTTTCTGGTAAAAATACTCCACCAAGGATCCTCCTCGATATCTCCAATTGAAAGCACGGTCGTAACTCACAATGGGATTTTCGTTAAAAGAACCAATAAATTCCTGCTTCCAATCCTTCCAACAATATTCCTCTTCATCCTGGTATTTGTTGTCGAACCATAACAAGGCCGATCCTGTTAGGTATGATCGCATTCCATTGATTCTAGCCTTGTCTCTAACCCATCCGTTGTTTTCACAGATGTTTTCATATATTTTGATCCAAATTTTAGGATCCACGTTTCTTCCATCAAAGGTAGCCACATCCATTTTGACTGGCCTATCTACCCTGATTTCACTCTTATTAGTAAGCAGAAAGTCGGTCATTAAACGCTGCTGGTTGGCCATCGTCCTGAGGATACTCTCCATGGTCGAATCTGCCAAGTCCGTTTCTTCCTCTTGCATGTCTTGCTTAATAAGCTTAATCTTATCAAATTCTCCATTTGCATACCATTGTATAAGGCCAGTTGGAACGCCAACGAATCGGTTTGAATCCTTTTTCAGATAAAAAGCCATTGGTTTCTTGCCATACCTAAAAGTCCTTTCATGACACTCTGGTGACTGGTATTCTTCTGGAATGTCAATAATCTCCTCACCAGAGTGTAAACCAAATCCAATCACCTTATCATCCCTGAAATATAAGACTAGTGATCCTGTCGGCTGCGCCATAGTTGTCGTGTTCCCAATATAAGAACTAGTTTTAAAGAAACACTAAAAGATTCTAATCAACAGAACTCTACTTTATTATTCTCTTGACCTATATTTTATACCTCGCGCTTTTTGCGGACATGCAAAATCAACCATCCTTTTTAAAAAACAAAAAGTAAATATGCAAATATACAGAATATACAAATATACAAAATAAAACAATACCATGCAAATATGTCGAGGTATGCGACAAGAATAAATGATAAAATTGAGAAAATATGCAAAATAAAATTAGAAATGCCGTAAAAGTAATTTATTTATAGAAAACAAATTTTTGAGAACCTATTGAATGAAAAAATAACTAAAATAAAAGCATAAAGCTATTAAGTTGAGCTAAGATTATAAGTTGACGCAGAGGGTTGATGAGGGTATATGGGATGTCTGAGTATGTTCCTGCAAAGAAATAGCTTAATGGGTTCTGCAATGCAGTACGAACTTGTGTTATTGACATACTGTTTCCTTTAACAGAACGTTCTAAATGTTCCGTCTGCATTATTAGTTCAGACTAGCAGGGAGAGGTAGGTAGATTGAAGAATGTGGAAAGGGAAAGATAAACGCAAGAGATGTACTGCTGTCAATGATGATGGTACCCGGCTTGTATGATGAAAAAAAAAATGATATAATGATTTTAAAAATGAT